TTAGAGTGACACTAAACTCTGGCGTTATATATTAAAAACACAATGATGTACCTTAATTATTAATAATACTGTTTATATTGATCCCAGAAGGTGCAGAAGGTGGTTCTTCACAGGAACAGTGGTTTCCACACCTCCAGCTTAAACATCATATTACTGCCCTCTGGAGATCTAAACCTCTTAGATGAGCAGTATATAACACAGCGCCAACGGCTTATGTCCAGAAAAGGAGGCAATCTGCAGTGATTGTAGTACAGAACGCTAACGAGGCAGGCTCTCAAATAGGCTTTAGGGAAACCTCAACTCTGGAAAACAAAACACAGAGAGCGCCTCCATCGCTTAAAAACTTTTTATTAAAATAAATTTAGACAGATGCAAACATACTCACAAAGGTCTAGTTAAAACAGGCATGAAACGATATGAACACGAGGGACTTAGCCAGCCGGCTGTTCGTCCTCTCTGATGGTTTACGCATTTCCGAGGTCACGCCTCCTTCGTCAGACTCCCTTTGAGGATTTGTGTATGAACCAAATGGAAAGTAAACATAAATGATTAAAGATATATCATATTCTCTTGACCCAAGCTTACTCCGAGTGACTGTGAGTTGTGTTCAAATTTGTTAAAATATCAGACCTCTGACATTTCCCTTTTGAAATAGAAAAAGAATTTGAGGACACAATCTCTTCTTCTGCAGTCTCAGCACTGAATGAATGGAAAGCACTCTGTACAGAGGCTTCCCATTCATTCACAGACTGGAGATAGTAAATATTTGCTATCAACCAGTTATGAATGGATAGAAGCCTCTGTACTGAGCTGCTTCTACCCATTCAGAAACTCATGAATGTACAGGAAGTGATGTAAAGCACTTCCTAATCATTCATAACTTGGGACACATAGTACTATGTGTCCCCAGTTGTTTACAAACATTGGTGTGATCAGCGATCACTCCAGTGTTTGTGCTGCACACAGAGGATCGGTAAATATCATAGATATTTACCGATCCTCCTGCTCTCTATCCTGCACTGCTCGGCCATGTGCACAGAGCCATTTGGCCAGGATCTGACAGCTGG